GCATCCCAACAAGGAAGAAATTGGGCAAAAATGTTAGGAGACCTTCATGGATGGATAAGGAGCTGCTGAGCAAACTCAGTGAAAAAAGAGACTTCAGCAAATGGAAATGATAGTAGGTGGCCTGGGAGGTATGGGAAGCTAGGGACAAGGTTAGGGAAACAAAGCCCCAGTTAGAACTGAGTCTGGCCTGGGATATTATGGATAACAGGAAGGGCTTTTATAGATATGTTGTAAACAAAGAAGGGCTAGCGATAACATGGGCCCTTTTCAGAAGGAAATGGGAGACCTGGCTTCCTTGGACAAAGAGTAGGCTGAGTTTCTCAACTACTTTTATGCTTCATTCCTCAATGGCAAATGATCCAGCCATGCCATCCAAGTCAGGAAAGAAAATGAAGGGACTGGGAAAACGAAGACTCTAAGCCCACTATAAGAGAGAGTCAGGTTCAAGACCATCTAAGGAACATTAATGTGCACAAGCCTGTGGAACCCAATGAGATTCATCTGCACGTACTGAGGGAGATGGCAGACAAAGTTGCTAAACCATTACCCATAATTTTTGAAAAACTGTGGCAGTCTGGTTAAGTCCCTGGTGAGTGGAAAAAGGGAGATATAACCCTCATTTTTAAAAATGGGAAAGCCAAAGACCTGGGAATCTACAGACCATTCAGTCTTCCTTCTATGCCTCGTAAGATCATGGAGCATATTCTCCTGGAAACTGTGCTGAGGCACATGAAAAACAAAGAGATGATTGGTGACAGCCAACATAGCTTTACAAAGGGGAAATCGTGTCTGACAAATTTTGTGACCTTCTGTGATGAGGCTACAGCATTGGTGGATGGGATAGAGCAACAGATGTCATCTACCTGGACTTATGCAAAACATTTGACACTGTCTCCAAAGTCAAGACATGGATTTGATGGATGGACCATTCAGTGGATAGTGAAATGACTGGATGGCTGGGTGCAAAGAGTTGTGGTCAATGGCTCATTGTCCATGTGGTGACCATGATGAGGGTGTCCCTCAGGGGTCACAACTGGGGCCGATACTGTTCAACATCTTTGTTGGCAACATCGACAATGTTACCAAATGCACTATCAGCAAATTTGATGACTGCACCAAGGTATGTGGTAAAATCAACACATGGGAGGGAAGGAATACCATCCAGAGGGACCTTGACAGGTGGATGCAAACCACATGAAGTTCAACATAGCAAAGTGCAAGGTCCTACACCTGGGTCATGGCAATCCCAGGTACACCTGCAGGTTGGATGGAGAAGTGACTGAGAGCAGTCCTGCAGAGAGACTTGGGGGTGGTGATTGATGAAAAACTCAGCATGAGCCGGCAACATTCACCTGTAGCCCAGAAAGCCAACTACATCCTGGGCTGCATCAAAAGCAGCATAGTCAGAAGGTAGAGGGAGGTGATTCTCCCCCTCTACTCTGCCTCATGACATGCCATCTGGAATACTGCAAATTGTTCTGGTACCCCCCAATATTAGAGAAGAGAAGATTGTGTGAAGACCTCATAGCAGTCTTCAGTATCTGAAGGGGGCCTACCGGGAAGCCAAGAAGGGACTCTTCATTAGGAACTGTAGTGATCGGACAAGGAGTAATGGGTACAATTGAAAGGGGGAGAAATTAGGTTAGATATTAGGAGGAAATTTTTTACTGTGAGGATGGTGAGACACCGGAAGAGATTGCCCAAGGAGGTTGTGAATGCTCTGAGCCTGTCAGTGTTTGAAGCCAGGCTGCAGAAGGCCTTGAGCAACCCAGTCTAGTGGGAGGTGTCCCTGCCCATGGCAAGGTGGGTGGGGACTAAATGATCTTAAAAGTCCATTCCAACCCCTTAATGTTCTATGATTCTATGAGATTCTGTGACTAAAAACTACAGGGCAAAACCTGAATATTTCAAAGCCCATGAGATTGCAGAGGTCTTGGTATAGCACACAGGCAAAGACAGTGTTAACTTGTGTTCCCCTTGCTTAGTTGTGAGATGGAGGAATAGAAGCATTTCTGAGCCCCTGGGCAACGCAACACCAGGCTCAACACTGCAATAGCTACTTAGCCTTCCTAACCAACACATTCACATCGCTTGTTGTGAAGAGAAGTGCTTGAACCGTGCAAGCTAAGCTGTTGAGCGAACAGAAGCAACCTTTATCCTTTGTTTTCACTTTCCACTTTCATTTCTCTACATTCTTTATTAGTTTCAGTTTAATTGAGATTGGGGTTTTTTTCTTGGTTTTTCACCAGAGTGCCCCAATGGCATTGTTAATTCTGTGGAATTAAATTGTTTAATTCTGTGGAATGAAAGCAGGGAGAGACATATCCCTGAATGGTCATTAAGAGAACCAATTGTTAATTGGTAGCTTTTCACTTCTTGTTTCCATATATGCTAACATTTACTTTTTTTTATAATAGAATTACTTGACAAACCCTTTGTATACCATAGCATTATGAGGAATCTTTCCTGCATAAATAAGGTAGCTGTAGTTTACTCTAGTTTAATCATCTCTGAGGATGTGAACCTCCATGGCAATTACTGATTAAGTTACTGTGAAGCAAGGCTACTTTGCTCTTGGATGAGAGTATCTACAGGAGTGATTAATGTGCTGTAACACTGATGTCAGTCCTGTAGTTGCTTTGTCCTAACTTTTCTGAGTATATTAGACGTGGCCTAAATTTAAGGTCTTAGTATTTTTGTGTGACTAATATAATCAAATCAAAGGAAAGGAAATTTCAGTGCCAATGTGGAAACTTAGATTTCAAATATGTTTGAGTGTATTTGAAAAAGGGCTGGATTTTGTTAAGTTGTATGGGTTAACATGTGCTAAGTCAATGCTTTGTGGAATGCTTTCTTTTGGTTGAATGTTACCCTTCAAAGTTTTGCCAAGTTCTCTTATTTTTCTGAAGTTTGCCAGTAAAAGTACCCTCTGAGAAAACGTGTGCAGCTTTTTCTCCTTTGTGCTCTCTCTTAAGGTGTTAGAAGAACCCAAGGCTCTTCTAAAACTTCATTGGGCGAATTTTTGGAACCTTGTATATTTTTAGAGGAAAACTTTGGTGATCTTGTAGGTTGAGACTTGGGGTCTTACAGGGCGTCACCCTCCTGTGGACTGCAACCCCTGAGAGCAGACCATGGAAGCTGTAGGCTTGCAGTCTCCAGTTGCACTTTGGGTATGCAAAGCCCCTGCTCCTCAACTGGTTTCCTGCCATCCCTTCTGCAACATCAGATTTGGTCATTTGTGTTTCCATCTACTTTCAAAGGAAATGTGGCAGCTGCTACAGTTGTACCATTTTCACTGTTTCTTTTTCAACTGTATGAATTCTTATGTGAATTTAGGTAATAAGAAAAAGGACCATAAAGCAAACTGTATGAAAGACATTGACGCACATTTAAGTTAATTTGAAAATTTTCAAGGAATTTAGCAGGATTGTTTGATATTAACTTGTGAATTTCCAGAAAGACCAGTCTAAGGCTGTCAAACAACAAGGATGTCCACCCAGAATTAAGAGAAACAGTAGATCTTCTTGGGCAAATATTCAGAGTACTTTGTTGGTGTCATTGAACTGTTAAGTTAATGCCTTTTACTTTACCCATCACCTGACTGGTTAACGTTCATTATAACAGAGACAGGAATCAGTAACATTACCTAAATGCTGCTGACTGTTTTACTTTAAGATGACTTTTTGTTATGTGTAAACAGCATAGAAATGGAATAGTTATTTTTAACTTGAACTGGGACCATCTTGAGCAGTGCTTTCATAATTCATGCTCCAAGGAATGGATCATGCTGCCTCAAAGATTAACATGACAACATAGAGGCTTTGCTTGTAGACCAAAGCCATTGAACTTTGGACGAGTTGGTTTTGTGATGTTATGTGCTACATAATGTGCTGTGGTGGACAAGAGATTTTAACAGCTGGTAAAATGGGATTATAGAAGCAGGGTCTGAGTCAGGAGTGCCCTTCTTGTAACTTACTAGGGGAACTGAGACTTGTTTATGGAAAATGGAAAACAGTAGACTTATTAGGCCTGCTTTTCTAATGTTGCTATGTTATTTAAAGAGTGAAGGTTTGCTGAGGTGAGGGGGAGTATATAATGCTTAATTTTGTAAGCAAAGTTTTACACTATGTCAAGTGTATACCAAGGTCATGCATGGTGAGACTATTTATTAACATTTGCGTAAATTGTTTGACATGTCTGGGTGTTGGAGATAAATGCAGTGTGTTCCTGCAGTTGGCATTACACCTCTGCCAACAGAAGGAGGAATCTAAAGAATTGAAAGGATCATGGCACCATACTCTCTCAAGCATCTGGATTTACACAAGAATTTTTCTTCTCTCAGTCTGGTACCCATGCTTCCTTCAGCTATCTCTCTTGATCAACAACTGATAGGCAGAGATTGTTGAAGCAGATTAAGCTGTTGGACAACAAAAGCTTGCTAACACTGATGAAAGCTGGACATTTACCTGAGTCAGTCAGCACAGTATAGAGAATACTGGCTTGACACGGGCTCCTCACAGGAAACTACTGTAGGACCACATCATGGAGCTACTGCACACAAGTTATTAAGTCCTGTTTTTCAATACTTAGTAAACCTCATGCAAGGTTTATCTGTTTGGCTATGGAACTCTAGCCATGCAAAACTGTCTTTGAAACCAGTCAAGCTGAGGAGATCCCAGCTGCAAAGAGGAGAAACTGTTCACTGTGCTCCTGGAGTGCTCACTGGGGAGCTTACGAATGAAATGCTTTGCAGTATCTACACCAGATGGATGTGTAGGCATTGAAAGTGCCCAAGGGTTCTCAACAACAGTTGACAGGATCAGACTAATGCCTATTTGTCTGAATCTTTGTCATTTTTTGTTCCAACTAACACTTTAATGGTAGCATTTCAGGGATTATTGGAGTTTGTGCTTAGGGTCACATTTGTGCTATAGAAGAGTAGAAAGAGAATGTGAAGATGTCTTCTGAACTGATTTTTCTGTCTTTTTCTTTCTTTACAGCATTTTGTTTGCAGACATTGTGGGGTTTACTAGTTTGGCATCACAGTGTACTGCCCAAGAGCTAGTGAAGCTACTGAATGAACTTTTTGGAAAATTTGATGAATTAGCTACGGTAAGTACAAATTCTTATTTCAATTTAATTTATATTTCCTTCTGAAAAATTATGAATGAGTTACATATGTTAGAAATATGTAACAGACTGATTTAGCCCTGTGTGTCATGAATTTCTAAAGCTTCCATTTTTATTAATGTTCTGGAAAGAAAACAGTCTATTTTAATTGTTAGGAAAAAAACATGCTATTTTAAAATATACTCTTCTTTCCCCTCCATGCAGTCCATCAGTGTTCTTTATTAATTTTGTTTGCATCAAAATAGAGAAAATATTTCAATATTTACATTTCTACCCTTCTTGGATAAAAGCCCAGAATAATGGAAAATATGAATATTGGCAGTTTGGCATAAAACTACTTTCTGTGATAGTAGGAAGCTAGAGAGTAAAATTTGTTCTTCACAGAGAGCACGTCTTGCCACAGAAATGACAGTAGCTTTTCAGAGGTTATTGTAGGCAAAATGGGATCCATATCATAACTGATGCTTATGTTTTGGTTGCTGCACTTATATTGTGCTAGATTCCCCAAGGAAGAGAAAATGAGAGAAATGTTCCTTGCCTATAACTCCAAGCAACCTAATTTGACGAGAACCATTTGACAAAAAATGAGAGGAGTAGATGTGCCAGAAAGGCATACATCTCATTTCAAATTACATTTAACAAGATGTTGGAAGTGTGTTTGTCCCTTGAAAAAAGCAGAACTTCATCAAATCTATCTTGCTTGCCAGCCATGTCCATAGAACCTTCATTGCTGAGAAGTGTCACTTCCACATAAATTATGCTCCTCCACTATCTAGCTATTTTGTTTTCAGACTCTGTGTAGCAGCTTAGAGAACATTTTTTTTTAGACCCTCAACATGAACAATATCCACATTTTTTCAGTCCAAACTCACTTCTCCTTGATACAGTCTTCCACAGGAGAGATCTAAAGCACATGGACATTTTACATATATATCTTCCTCTTGATAAACAGCTCCCAATACCCCAAGGAGAAAGAAATCTGATTTACAAGATGCCAGGGTTGAGCAAGACCTATTCTTAGTTAAATGGATTATCATTTGATCGAGTGCTATGTCCTGATTTGCACTAGGTGTTCAAGTCATAACAAAAAGATATGTTCCCTTTTCACAAGGAAAGCAGAAGATTAACTTAGATGCTGAGTAGAGATGCAATGGTAGTATGGGGTTTTTTGGTATGAATTTGTAACACAGTCATAAGCCTTTGTGTAATCAATTAATTACTGGAACTACTGACAGTGTCTCATAGAGAGCACAGGTCCCCAGCTCAGAGTGCTTCATACATGGATACCTTGGAAGTAAAATGCATTTCCATGTGGATAGTCATTGGTAAGAGCTTAAATGGCTTAAGAAGTTCAGATAGTCTCCTTACTTTAATTTCATAAGTTAATTTCATCCTTCAAATGTCAACCAGACATCTAACAAGCTCTTTTAAAACCTATAATGCTGTCATTCATGGAGTTTCATAGACATGAAACACATGGCAACATAATAACATGGAAGTACTGTGACACAGCACTAGATCTCATATGTGCACACAGAAATGCATAAGCCTACGACGTGTGCAGCATGGCACTGAAGCCAGGGACATGCTTCCCTACCATGCTTGCTTCCTTTAGCAGTGGCCATGTGCTGCCAACTGGAGGTGTCACTGACACCTGAAGGCAGGGTACCTGCCAGATGCCAGCTTTTGGTGTGAGGTCAGTTGTTGGTCAGGGAAGAAGCAGTACAGAGTTAGCAGAGGAGCTAAAAAGCCTTAGATTTTCTGTTCAGCTTCCAAGGATTCTTTTTTCAAATTTTAAAATAGATCCCTTTGTTTCTTTCAGCTATTTGAGGAAGATCTGCTATTTAGTTGTACGTCTGGCTCAGATTGTGCTGTATTGAGGTGTGATTAAGGACAGAATGTACAAGCTTTCCTTAGTGCCTTGTGATGTGATTAAGGGAGACTTGTAATTGTGTTTCTTGCAGTCAGAGCAATGTGCTGAGAAGTGTAATTTTTCAGAAGGATTCTGATCTGGTTAAAGCAGCTTCTAGATATTCATTATTAGGTCAAAACAGAGAACTGAGCTTGATTTTTATAACTGTGCTGTGCTTTAGCATTCAGAATGATTAAGGAGGAAACTGTAGGGTCTTAAAAGAGAAGTGTAACAGTGATAAATATGCTTGCTGTGACTAATAAAGTGCAATCTATGAGTATGCAAGCTGTGTGCTGCTATTTCTTGGGAAGCAAAGTCAACTGGAAGGGGCAGTTTCTGACAACCCTCGTTAAAATAATTCCCTGTCTTAAAAATGTAATGCTTAAAAAGAATCCCTGTCACCACTCTGGGAAGTGTAATAAGTGTAAGGTAGCATATGTTGGCTGGGAGCCTCATTAAGAGTCTTGGCACATTGACATGTTGTTGGAATAGTGAGTCTTTGTTTTTTGACAGCATAGTTCTGCTAAAGTTTGTCCTTCTGACATTTAGAAACTGTTTCATACTTTTTTCATTAGTTATTTCTCTCTTTCTATATGCTGTCCTTTTGGGCTTTTTTTCTTGGTCAGGCATGTAGTTTTGCTGTCTTTGAAATGCTACCTTTTTTTTTTTTTTTTTTAATCACAATAGCTTCAAATACAGTTACAACTCATGAAAGGGAGTTCTGAAGGCAAACCTTAGTTTTCAATATATTGTCATTCAATTCCTTTCAAAGCATCCTTGTACATTCTGTTAATATAGAGGGGAAAAGAAATCCTGGTATTACTTTCTGCTAGAACTGTTTTGTACTTTTATCATGCCCTTTCACTTTTATTCACCTCTAGAGAAAATGTTTTTAAACACTTGTCTTTGCATAGCATATTTTACTTTGTAAATCACTGAGTCTTTGAACTGTGCTAGAGAAGAGATGGTCCAAACACAGTACTTAAAATCACAGAATTGTAAAATATCTTGAGTTGGAAGGGACCCATAAGAGTCATCAAGTCAAAATCCCTGCTCCTTGTAGTATTACCTAAAACTGAACCATACGATTAACAGCATTGTCTAGATGGTCCCTGAAAATTATGACATGATTTCTGTTTTCACAATAGCAAAGTTTGGTTTCTTAAAGAAACAATATTAGATAATCATATTTTATATAGAATTTTGTGGTCTCCTCAATAACTTTTGAGTCCTAGGGTCAACTTCAGTCACTCTGAAGAAAGGAATGTGAGTCTCAAAAATATAAAGCTCAACAAAAAAGAATGGCAATATTAGTATCCTTGCAAGAGTGTAATTTCATCCTAGTCAGATATCAGAGAATCCACATGGGGAGGCGCTGTTATAAATGCCTCAGGATTCATTTGTATGACTGATTAATGAAGTCTTGTAATGTCAGAGTCTTTAGGCACCCTGATATAAGCGTTTTAGATAAGTCTGTCCATGCAAGGGTTCCCTTGAGACTGTGGGACTGTACATAACCATAGCACGCTACCTTCCTGAACATACACAGTTGGTGAAGTTTCTGGTAAGGTCCATGACTAGTTCAAATAGAAAGAATTACTTTGTATTGATTTCTATTGGATTTTATATGCTGTTCAGGCTTAGTTTACTCACTTCTGGCTGTTGCTTTGAAGCTTTTTGATTTCTTCCCACTAAACAAGGGTAACTTTGTGCGATCTCAGATTTCACCCTGCTGATAGTCATTCTGCATTACATATTATCAATAAATGCTTCAAGTAGCTGATCTTTGCATGAGGTCTTCAGGTGCCTTGCAATCAACCTCTGATACAACTCAGTTTCAGTTTGTCATTCTTTAGCTTGTAAGAGTGACACATTTTAGTCAGATATAATTACTTGCATTAAGCTGGTTTTATGTTTGCAGAATTTCTGGACACATGACACTTAGGCTGAGTACCTTGTTAATTTAATGCACTGCATATTTCACTGCATTTTCTCTTCATGCTTTAACCGTGGCATGGATTTACTGGGAACAAGGGAGATTCTCTGGGCTGCAGTTACCCAAGTAGCATCCCATAGAGCTGCACATGTCCCTGCTTGAGAACTGTCATGGTCAAAGCTCTACTATGTTGTGATACAGTTTAGACATGCCCAAAATATTTTACTTGTAATAAATCATCTTAATAGAGAAGAGGAGGCATTTATTCAGCATTCTGTGTTGTAATGAAATAGGTTTGATTTTTAGACATATCTTATTTTATTGCTCTTTTCTGTGTTAGATTTTTCTCACATACATCCTGCATATTTGTGTTTACAGATTCAGTTATTTCCCTTTCAACTTCCCTGTTACTGTATCTTATACTTCTAAGACTTTTCATTTACGAGTGGACAAGGATAAATGAATTTCAGGTGTTTTTCAAAGGATATCACTAGAAAAAGATATTGATATTCTGACTGAAAGATCTTGCATTGTGCCACTTTTGGCATCTCATCTATTAGGTGGACTGACATACACCACTTCCTTGTTCTTTCTGTTTACAGTTAGGTATACCTCCAGGTTTTGTCAGTATTTGTAGGCTGAGTCAATTTTTTTTTTTTCCATTTTAATTTAGTATTCTTCCCTGAGTACCTTCTTAACATTTAACAAGTTTTACTTCACATATTTGTGTTACTGAAGTGGCCTTTTGTCCCTCTTCAGGCTTAAAGATACTGAACTAAAAAACATTGTCTCTGAGAACCTTAGGCAAAGAGTCAGTAAGTGATATTTTAATCATCCTGTGTGTTTTTTAACTGTGTCAAGAACAGTCAGTTCTTTGCTGAGTGTTGAACTAGCTTTTCCAAGAAGCAATCAGTCTATGAAATTGCTTCTACTGCATCTATTGATTGCTTTTACTTTTTATTAAGATAATTATGATGTATTTTTAAAATATAAAATGAACAAAGTTTTGTGGGCTGGCTTAGATGGCAAAGTTAGTGCTGGAAAGCATAGGTATAAACTTACAGCGTGTAATTCTTCTTTGTGGAAATTGGTGTGCACTTGGTAGGGGATATTTATAAAGGCTAATTTTAAGAT